TCTCCCCACCCCAGGACTATTACTCAGATTTCATGTGGAAGACATTTCTCCATGTATTAAAGAAATTTAGTAGTCTTTCTCCCTTGAAGATGAATTTTGGGACTAGTTTTTACAAAAACATTACTACTTTAAACTATTACCAAAACAAAACAACAATGAGGTGAATTAATCAAGAAATTCTTTGGGGCCCGTTGCTGTGGAACAGTGAGTTAACCCTGGCCTGAAGCACTGGCATCTCACATGGGCGCCGGTTCAAGTCCCGGCTGCTCCTCTTCCAATCCAGCTCTGTGCTAGTAGCAGAAGATGGCCCAAGTCTTTGGGCCCCTGCACCAGCGTGGGAGACCCGGGAGAAGCTCCTGGCTCCTGGCTCCTGGCTTCCAATCAGCGCAGCTCTGGCCGTTGAGGCCATCTGAGGAGTGAACCAGTGGATGGAAGACCTCTCTCTCTCTGTAACTCTCTCTTTCAAATAAATAAAATAAATCGTAAAAAAAAAAAAAAAAATTCCTGTTACTGGCGCTTAGCCTAGCAGTTAAGATGTTCACAGAGAATACCTGTTCCTGACTCTGGCTTCCTGCCAGTGCAGACCATGGGAGGCAGCAGTAATGGCTCAAGTAATCGGGTTCCTGCCACCCACATAGGAGACCTGAATTGTACTGATGGCTTCCTGGCCTCAGCCTCAGCCTCAGCCCAGGGTATTGATTACATCTGAGGAGTGAACCAGTGGATGAGAGCTAGCTCACTTGCTCGTGTTCTCTAATACATAAAATATTTTTAAAGATTTACTTATTTATTTGAAAGTCCAAGTTACACAGAGAGAGGTCTTCCATCTACTGGTTCACTCCCCAGTTGGCTGCAATGGCCAGAGCTGTGCTGATCTGGAGCCAGGAGCTTCTTCTAGGTCTCCCATGTGGGTGCAGGGGCCAAAGGACTTAGACCATTTTCCACTGCTTTCCCAGACCATAGCAGAGAGCTGGATCGGAAGTGGAACAGCCTCAAACAAGTGCCCATATGGAATGCCAAAACTGCAGGCAGCAGCTTTACCCACTATACCACAGTGTCGGCCCCACATAAAAAAATTTTTTTTAAGAAAGAGAAATTCCTAACTTCAATAAATTAGTAAATATATTTTCTACATACAATTCAATTTAAAAAATACAATGTTTTCCAAATTCTATTAGTTGAGAACAAGCGTCAATCAGCTGGGTTCTTAGGAGGCAACCATTTGAGTTACTCAGCAATTCTACAGGAAACACTAGGAACTGACAGTCCAGATAGGCCACTTCACTTTAGCAACATGAAAAAGGAAAAACAAATGAAGGAGGCTTTGAAATAACAACAAACTTTGTTATGTAATCATTAAAAGTGCCTAAGACTCTACAGAATTTTCCTACTGCTTTAGTTCTACTAAGAAGATCAGAAGGCTAAAATGGATAAACTTAGCAAGACCTTCTATTTGGAAACACAATCTGCTGGATTATAAAAAGGAATGCTATGTGGGACAGCACCCAAAGATGTAACCTTATCTTTTAACTTTAAGAAGATCCTCTCAAATTTTTCAATTTAAGAAAAAAAAATTTAGCTTTATAGGTTCACACTATTCAAAGTTTTAGGTTAATTTGGAAAGATACTCTAAGTATACAGTATACTGATGGCATATTTTAAAAAAATCTCTTAAGAGTCTCCAGAACAACAAAAAAATGCTGATTTTATCAGGGCAGGATTTCACCACTTCACAGCTGTGTGACTTTAATAAGTTACTTAGCTACTCTAAGGTCCATTCCCTTATCTATTAAAAAAAAAAAAGATAAATACCAGTTACTTTAATTCTCATTGTGTGAACTGTGAAACACCCTAGATATTTTGCAATTCATTCTCTTATCTGAAACCTGAATCAGTCCCACAGCATCACCAATTTAAAACACTTTGAGCAGAACAGCTACAAAGAAGCAGTCTTTTTCATCCTCATACTTCTACTTTTCTTGACTGAACCAAAAATCAGCTTCCTAGTTATCCAGCCCCATCAATCCCACTCTAGTTTCCATCTTATTAAGTAAAGCTGATTCATTTCTCACTAAACTCGAAGTTCCATGAGGGTTGAGGCTATTTCTGTCCAGTACTGAAGCCCAGCACCTAGAATAGGGATTAACATTTAGCAGGTATACAATACACACAGACCGAATGATGTGTTCTGTGTAGTTTTTTTAATTGATTGAACAATGAGACGCTAATACAAGTGTGGCACAAAAATGTATACACTTCTGGATGTAACCATTTAATGCCCAAGGTTTAAAAGCTGAAATATCCTACCATGAGGTGGGTATTTGGCTAGGAGGTTAAGACACTTGCTTCCCATATGAGAATGCCTGGGTTTAAGTCCTGGCTTTGGATAGAGACTCCAGCTTCCTGCTAATGCAGATCCTGGGTCCCTGCCACCCACATAGGGGACTTAGATTGAGTGCCAGATTCCCAAGAGTTTTGAACACTAGGGGAGTGAACCAGTGGATGAGAGCTGGCACATATTTATTCTCAAATAAATTTTTAAAACATTTGTTGGGCTGGCGCCGCGGCTCACTAGGCTAATCCTCCGCCTTGCAGCGCCGGCACACCGGGTTCTAGTCCCGGTCAGGGCTCCGGATTCTGTCCCGGTTGCTCCTCTTCCAGGCCAGCTCTCTGCTGTGGCCAGGGAGTGCAGTGGAGGATGGCCCAAGTGCTTGGGCCCTGCACCCCACGGGAGACCAGGATAAGTACCTGGCTCTTGCCTTCGGATCAGCGCAGTGCGCTGGCCACAGTGGCCATTGGGGGGTGAACCAACGGCAAAGGAAGACCTTTCTCTCTGTCTCTCTCTCTCTCACTGTCCACTCTGCCTGTCAAAAAATAAAAATAAAATAAAATAAAATAAAATAAAATAAAATAAAATAAAACATTTGTTAAGGGCTGGCATTGTGGTGGAGCAGGTTAAGTGGCACCCTGTGACCCTGGTACCCCATATGGGCGCTGGTTCAAGTCCCAGCTGCTCCACTGCTGATCCAGCTCCCTGATAATGCACCTGGGACAGCGGCAGAAGACAGCCCAACTGTTTGGGCTCCTGTACCCACACAGAAGACCAGGTTGAAGCTCCAGGCTCCTGATTTTGGCCTGGCCATTGCAGCCATTTAGGAAGGGAACTATCAGATGGAAGATGGATCTCCCCCACCCTCATCTCCCTCTCCCTCTCTCTGTAACTCAACTAAACAAATAAATCTTAATTTTTTAAAATAACATAACCAAATTCATGCTGTGGATCTGAAAAGTCCTTAGGACACGGTAAATGAAAAGCAATTCTGCCATACTATAAATGAACAGTGGAGCTTTTCAAAGTTGAAGATGATCAAGTCTCTTCAAAGCAACAAACTTCTCAATGGCTCTATAACTCTCATTCATAATTTCAGATTTAAATTAATTCCAAGTATACACTAAAACACTCAAAATTACCTGCAACCTTACTGACACTAACTAGTCTGTAAGCAAACCCAAAATAACAAAAACCTAGTCAAACTGTATCACCAGAAAGCTACACAGAAAACATCAGAATTGAAGTTCTCACAGACCATCAAAATCTGTAACAACTTTTTCTCATGCCTTTGTTAGCAACGCACTGCTATAAATAAACATCTCACTGCCTAAACACTGGACCTCATTTATAATTTAGTCACTTATATTCCAGAGCTTAAAAGTAGGTTTCATATAGTATGTTCTGCTTCACAGAACTGGAAACTCAAGGAACAAGCAAGTTCACTATCCTCTCAAATCTCTGGAAATATTTCCATCTATAAAGTACAGAGCTGTCATTCTGTGCTGCTAGCACAAACAAAACATAATTAGTAAGGTCCATCTACCTGCCGCACGCCCCAGTCAATAACCATGTCAGCCTGTGAGTATTTCTTTCTGGATTATCTGGCGCCCTGATACTTGAGACTAAGACTGAAAATTAGTGATCTAGTAATATGCAACGTCCAGTAAAGAGCATTAAGGCAAATACAGGACGGGCAGGATTTTATAATAAATGGCAAAACCCAAAAGGCTCAAACATTTCAGTGAACACAACATGAAAGTTGGGCAGAAAGAGGAATTCAAAAGGAACAGCCTTGTACAGCTCCTTCCTCCCCAGCAAGCCTTTCAGAGCGAAACTGGATGAAGCCCCTACTCTTGGAGAACTTCCTTCCCCCACCACTTCTTCTATGAAGAGGAAGGAGACTCTGAGTGCATGTGCATAGCATACTATGCACAATGAAGCCGTTAGATGCAAGAGTGTTTTTCAAATTTAAAATCACTACCTACCATTAATACACCGGTAAAATGGTAGGGTGATTCCACGCTGAGGAACTTAGCGCCCGGGAGAGTAAAGTCTCCAGGGTCTGCGCTACAGAACCTACCCAACGCGGGCAGGCGGAGGGACCCCAGCAGCGCAGAGAGCACACCGGGGGCGGGCTCCCGACTCCTCTCCCTCGCCGTGGGGAAGAATCCCTTTACAGGAGCTGCCCGCTCTGCGCCCAAGGTTGCCTAAGCCCCAAAGCAAAGGCGGCTGGCAAGGGCGAAAGCCAACAGATGGGGGCCATGAGCAGCCGTGGCCGGGAGCAGTTTCTCAATGGGGCCAAGGCGATGCTGCAAGCAGCGACCACGTATGGAAGTTTCTCAACGGGCCCGGCGGCCAGCTCCCGGGCACGCGGGTGGGCTTCCCTTCCATTCTCTAAGGAGTCCAACCCTGCCCCGCGGGCCAGACCTCCAGGCGCCCGCAAACACGCCCAAAGGTTGAGCCTCCACGAATGCCCTCCGGGCGCCCCGCGCGCGGCCACCACTTGCCCTCACCTAGGGCCCTGTACAGGGTAGGGGGATCTCTGGGGGAGCCGGGGCTGGGGACGTCGCTAAGCCTCTGCCCCGACTCGTCGAGGCGGGCGGCAGAGCCCCGGCCAGGCCCGGCTTCCCCGCGCCCCTGGGCCCCCGCGCCCCCGCCTGCCCCTCACCTGATCTTGTAGTTGGGGAGCGTGTGCTTGCGCTTGATGATTTTCTTGAGCTGGTTGACGATGATGGAGGTGAGCTGGGGCATGGGCCGCCCTTCAAACTGCGAGCGCACCTCGAAGTCGATCAGCGGGTCCTCCACGAAGGAGAAGAACCAGTGGGTGAAGGGCACGCGCGTGAAGACGAAGCGCAGCCGGCCCACCACCCGGGACAGCTTGACGTACAGGTAGGCGGACTTGCCGAAGACCAGGTCCACGTCGATGGCCAGGTGGAAGCCGCCGTGGTACTCCACCTCCGCCTCGAAGGCCAGCTCCTCGGGGCAGCTGGGGGGCAGCGCCTCGCCGTCGGCGCCGTCGGGCTCCCCGGCGGCCGAGGCCACCACGGGCCGGACGAGCTTGATGGTCTTGATGAAGGGCACCGTCTCGCCCAGGAACACTTCCCGCAGGCTCAGCCCCTCCAGCAGCCGCCCGGCCGTCTTGGTCTGCAGCAGCTCCTCGAACTCCACCTTGATCTTCTTGGTGACCCAGCGGCGGGTCAGCGCGGTGTCCCGCAGCTCCCGGAACAGGAACAGGATGGTGGCGTTGAGGAAGTAGCAGGTCTCCCGCGTCGGCGGGGCGGGGGTCTCGGGGGCCGGGGTCGCGCCGCCCTCCAGGCCCCCGCCCGAGGGCTCCTCAGCCCCGCCGCCGCCATAGAGGTACTCCCTCAGGGGCAGGCCCGGCACCGGCTTGAGGTAGCGGAAGCCTTCGCCCGCGCGGGCGGCCTCGTCCGGCGGCGGCTCGGGCTGTCTGCGGTAGAGCAGCAGGAACTGGGTGAGCAGCGTGAGGAAGGAGCCCAGCACGGCCGACGCCAGGATCATGAGCAGCAGCCCCATCCCGCCACCGCCACCGCCTGCGCCCGGGCCCCCGCGCCCACAGGGCCGCCTTCTTCACGCCGCCGCCTCCGCCGCCTCCATCTTAAGGACATCGGGCGGCGGGGTCGGGGCGAGCGGCTCCCTGGGCCTCGTCCGGCCGCTCGGGCTGGCGCGGTGCGGCGCCAGAGCCTGCGGCGGCCCGCGCCTCCTCAGACACTCCGGGGGCGGCCGGTGTGGCTACGGCCGCGGCGGCGGCGGCGGCGGCGGCGGGGGGGGGGGCGGGCGTGGGGGCGGGACGGCGCCTCTCTCCGGACTCCGCTCATTGGGCGAACGGCTCGTGACGTCGGCAGCGTGCTCGCTCCCGCCAGCCGGCGTCCCCCGGCAGCTGGCGTCCGGGCGCGCGGACGCTGGTCCTGCTTCCCCTCGCGGGCGCCCTTCCAGCCCCGCCCCCCGCGCCCGCATTCGGTCCCCGGCGGCGCGCGCCGCGCGTGGCACGTGGCTGTCACTTCGCGAGCGGCGGTCGGGACGCAGGCTGGAGGAGACGGTGGTCATCCCTCCCCCCGGCCGGGTCCCCGTGACCTCTGCAGCAGCCTGGCCCTTCCCGCAGCGGGGTTTCCCCCTTGCGCCCCGGGATAGCGGCGGCCCCTACAGCGCAGTGCCGCAAAGGAAGCTTCGCTGGCCGGCGGGAGAGGACCGCCTTCCTCGCGGACAGCCACCGCTGGCCATCGACCCGACCTGCAGATTCTCTGGGTCCGCGGGACCGAGGGGCGGGGAGGGGCGCGGTAACTTTGCCACCTGAGTGGGTTGTTCAGAAAGAAGTTTTTAGATGAGGGTCTGGAGGAGTAATGAGCGCGATGGGAGGGTGACTTAGCGACTCGCTGTCTTGTCCTTGTGCGTTACCACACTTCGGCCGTCCAGGAGTCGGTGACCAGCTTGCGCCGCGGACCCTGACGCAGACCACGCCCGGGAGCCGGGACTGCCTACGCCAGCCCCCAAGGTCTTGGTCACTAACTTGTACCGCCACACTGAGATTCGCTACCGGCGTTAAGGGTTCCCTAGTGCACCGAGGGGAAAACTCAAGGGAATCTTGTGCCGGGGAGCACTCGGGCCAGAGCCTTAGCGTTCCCGAAGCCAGGTTCCCCGGCACCCTCTGAGGGCTCAGCGGTTGCATCATAAAGGGTTCTATCCTTGCAGTCACTTGGATCCCACTGCGAGACCTACAGGTCAGTAATTCCAACCCATTCTGCTGGCCTTGAGACACCAGGGCAGGGCTCTTCTCAAGCCTTTGTAAATCTTCAAGCCGGAGATTCTCTTGACTCTGGATGATTCTAGAATAACAACAACAAGTTAAAAAAAAAAAACAAAATCAGAGTTCTGACCCAGGTGAGGCACATAACAACTTGGGAAGGAACCAGGCGACCCTCATTTTTCTTATTCATGCCCAGCTGTGAGACCAGAGTGGTTCCATTACCGGGAAGACAAAACAGGTGTTTGCAAAGAGCCAGACTCAAACCCTTGCTGAAATCCTGGCAACTTTTGTTCCCGGGGTCAGTTCTGGCTTCTGGTGTTGGCTTCCGGGCTGCTCTCCCCATTCTGTGTTGTTTCAACCCAGATGGGAAATGTGGCTCTTGCCTCAGTTTGCACCAGAAATCTTGTGTGACATACAGAAACCTCCCACTGAAATATTGACTTAAACTGGTTCTTAAAATAGGCTCCACCCACCTTCCTTCCCCACAAGGAAAGTTGGAGGTTTTCATGGGAATGAGTTCTAACAGTCGTCTTACAGGCTCCTGTCCCCTCTTCTTCAGTCCTCAGAATAACTCCAGGAATCCACAGTTTTCACCATCCATCATTATACAGAGTCATTCGGTTCCCCTGCAAAACTTGAAATTTACAAAGGAGCTCAGCAAACCTTTGGGAAGGTAAAAGAAAAATACTTTCCCTTATACTTACAGTGGCTAACACTGTGACAAAGTGGATAAAGCACTTTGCTGCAGTGCCAGCATCCCATATGGGCTGCTGGTTCAAGTCTTGGCTGCTTTACTTCCAATCCAGCTCCCTGCTAATGCACCTGGGAAGGCAGTGGAGAATAGTCCAAGTGTTTGGACTACTACTCCCTGCACCGACATGGGAGACCCAGAAGAAGGTACTGGCTCTTGGATTCAGTATGTCCCAGCTCCGGGCTATGTTACAATACCAGCCCCTAAATTAATATTTTTTAAAAGGGGGGCTGGTTAAGTTTTGGCCTGCAACACCAGCATCCCATATCAGAATCCATCAGAGCACGGGTTTGAGTCCCTGCAGCTTCTCATACTGGTACTGATTCCAGTCCCAGCTGCTCCATTTCCAATCCAGCTCCCTGCTAATGCACCTGGAAAGGCAGCGGAAGATGGCCCAAGTCCTTGGGCCCCTGCACCACATGGGAGACCTAGATGAAGCTCCTGGCTTTAGCCTGGCCCAACCCCAGCTGTTATGGCCATTTTGGGGGTGAACCAGTGGATGGAAGATCTCTCTGCCTCTCCCTCTCTGTAACTTTGCCTTTCAAATAAATAAAATTTTTAGAAAAATTAGAACATGGGGCTGGTGCTGTGTTGTAGTGGGTAAAGCTGCTGCCTGGAGTGCTGGCTTCCCATATGGACACCGATTTGAGTCCCATCTGCTCCACTTCTGATCCAGCTCTCTGCTATGGCCTGGGAAAGCAGTAGAATGTGGCCCAAGTCCTTGGGCCCCTGCACCCATGTGGGAGACCCGGAATAAGCTCATGACTCCTGGCTTCAGATCAGTCCAGCTCTGGTCATTGTGGCCATTTGGGGAGTGAACCAGCGGATGGAAGACTTCTTTCTCTCTGCCTCTGTAACTCTCTGCCTTTCAAGTAAATAAATGACTTGAGGTTTGAGATTTTTAGAGTATCTCTAATGTCTAGTGCCTAGCACTTCAGAAGTGATCAGCATTTATTGAATACATCAATGAGGAAATGAGTAATAATATCCATCCCTCCATACACATGAAAACATGAGTGTTTCCTATTATAACCTTCATGAAAATCTTTTAAATCAATTCAAGGAGCCACTGATCAAGTCGTTGCAGCCTTTTGGGGAGTGAATCAGTGAATGGAAGATCTCGCTCTGTGTCTCCTTCTCTCTGTATGTAGTAGTAGTTCATGGTAGTTCAAGGTAGTTCATGGAAACAGGGTCTTGAGAACAACTGAAAATCTATGATTTTGAGTAGATTTTTGAAGGAAGGCTGCCTACTGACCTTCCAATGCATCTTAAGTACAGGCTGAGTAGTCCTTGTAAGAAATGCTTAGGACCAGAAGTGTTTTAGGTTTAGTGTTTGGTGTGGGTGCTTATTTTTTGGAATATTTGTATTGACTTTGGAGGTTGAACATTCCTAATATGAAATCCAAAGTTTAATGCTCAAAAAATGTGAGATTCTGGTTGAAATTAAGCTGCCCCAACAGGGTAAACACTTATTCCCAGAGTAAAAGCAGTTGAATATTGGAGACGGGTTGCATGTAACCCTCATGTTCTTACCAGTTAGAGAAGGCCTGGGCCACTAATGCTACTAAACTCTGAATCCTCCCTAATGGCCACTAGATAGGATGTGAATGTGGAGCACTGTAGGTAGCATGAAAACCAATCGATAGAAATGATATAAACTAATGCAAAAGTAGGGGGAAAGCATAGAGCAGTTTAGAGTTCTTGTCTAACAACTGATCCCTCAAACCACTTTGTGAATAAGAATTCAAATTGAACAGCTGTGTTTTAAATGTCCAACAAGTGCCAGGCTCTGGGAATACTGAGTGAACAGAACAGAGTTCCTGCCCTAAGGGGTGCCAGGCCCAGGCAGAAGCAGACACACGCCTACATGAGTACCATCTCCTATCAGGGTCCTGTGTGAGGTTAGGGGCAGGTCCTGTTGACCACAGGAACAGAAACTGCCTCGGGCTAACCTAACTAAAACTGCATTCATGGTAAGGATACTGGAAAATCTCAGGAATTCAGCTGCAAGCTGTTCACCTAGGGCTGTCATTGAAACCTCAGAATGAGAGGGCTGTTTCCATCTCATTCCCTCTGTCCCTCACCTGCCCAGTCTCTGCTCTCTCCATCTCTCTGCAGGTCAGTGTCATTTTCCTCTGTAAGCCTCTCGGTGCCTACTCCCCCATAGGCTCAGCATGCAGGCAGCTTTGGAAGACACCAGCTCTGCACCCAGATCTGGAGGACCTCTGGTGCCTATTGTGGTTTGCTAGCTCAGTCTCAGATTCAGATCCTAATCTCATCTTCTGTAACCAAGGACTTGCTGTCTCAGGGCTGCTCATGGGTGAAGCAGCTTCTTCAAGGAGGGGGACCTGGTTTAGTGGATGTGATGGACAATACTAGTTTGGTACAGGATGAGATGGATTCTGGTGGAGGAAGATGGGAGGTTTATTGGAGCAAATTGACTTTACACTGGTGTTTGGTGATTAGAAAGCTCTTATTTTAAAAAATTTACTTGAGAGTCACACACCCACCCACACACACACACACACAGAGAGAGAGAGAGAGAGAGAGAGAGGGAGTAAAAAAGAGATCTCCCATCTACTAACTAGTTCACTCCCCCAAATGCCTGCAATGGCCAGGGCTGGGTCCAGGCTGTAGCTGGGAGGCAAGAACTCACTCCAGGTCTCCCACAAAAGTGGCAGGAGCCTAATCACTCCTGCCTCCCAGGATCTGCATAAACAGGAAGTTAGAGTCAGGAGCCACAGGCACTCTGATGTGAGACTGGGTGTCCTAACCACTAGGCTACCCCTAGCTCAATGTTGTGATCAGGAGGCAAAAGCTCAGAAGTTGGAAATACAAGAGAGTTTAGGGAAATTGAGACCAGAAACCTGGAGGAGGGGGTATGTAATAGGGTTGATCCAGAGAGCGGGGGAGGGAGATGGAGGCAAGACAGTAGATGAGATGTGAGTTGAATTCCATCGGTTGAGTGTCAGGGCATGCTGGGATACTATTTTGCAGTCTTTGTAAAGTCTCCAAACGTTTTAAGCAACAGCATGGAATTGACACTTTCCCTTCCATCTCCTCTACCTGCAAAACCTCAGCTCTGGATCAGTCCAGCTGTCTACACCCTGCCCTCCGCAGCTACAAGTGCGTGGTCTTCATTCTCATTCAGGCTCTCAAGGCAAGACACTTCCTTCATCACCTTAGCCACCAGTTTGCTCCTATTTCCCTCAACAGTGACAACAAAACCTGACCAATCCCGGGCCTTTTACCTTCGCCTGCTCCCCAGCATG